ATCAAATTATCGTCATATTAACATTCTTGCTTTCGTCCATCTTCTACCTGCCCGATCAAAGAAAATATCGAAGCAACGAAGCGATTCCCTTAAAAAGCATTTACTTTGAATGAAATTACACTAATGCGTTTCAGTCTCCCCAAGTCTAAAAAGTATAAAACAGCTTGCAATTTCCTTAGTTATGTCCGCACGCGAACTAAACATCAACGTTTATATTTTTTGTAATTGCAATATACCTTTCATATAAAAGACACGATTGCTATCTTTATCTATTCATTAAATCTAGTCTGCGGTGCCATCTTTCGACAAAATTATAAACTGTTTTTATTTGGGAAAAAAACCGCCCACAAAGAAATTAATTTCCGAAATACTCATTAACTAACGCCCGCTGCTAAACGGGTGCCATTAAATGTAATACGTCGTAGGTTTGCATATCGGAGAAACGATAAATTGCTTCGTTTTAGATATATCGAAATACTGTTCGGAATATGAACCGGTAGAACCACACATGAAAAAGCAGTGAAGTTTAATCGCGTTTCGATTTCAGTCTGTGGATTTCCAAATATCCAAAGCCTTATATGGCTGGAGTATTTTACCTACCTAATCTAGTCAGTCTTCTATCATAAAAAAACAGAACTCTGATAAATTCCCGACTGTACACGGGTTTTCACTGACTATTATTGATTTATTAATTCTCTAATAGATTGTATCATTAGTATAGACATATTTTTTATCATAATTATGCTATCGCATAAATCTTTTTGAGTTTCGTTTCTTGCATTAAATAAGGAAAACCTTATTGCAAGTGAATTATATAAGCTAAACGGTAGGATCAACGTCTGTTAGTTCAACCTACACGTACATGTGTATATACACACTTTTGTAGTCTTATCTTGTTTGTAGCTTTATCCAAAGTACCAGCACAAGAGTATCTTTCATCTGACCTGTCAATACAGCTCTTGTTCATATCTGACTGCGAAGTCTGAGGACAGAATGGGATTATTGATGTAAGCTGTTTCGACAGTTAAAGGAGTAAGGGAAGTGACACTACGCAATAGCATATCTGTTCAAAATATATGCATTTCAAATTTATGACAGTTGGGACTGTACCACGTCGTTGCCATGGCAACAGACCTACTGCGTAATTAGCTCGGATTTTTACAGAAACAATCATGTTTATGAATTCTTCAATAATTTAACGATGATCATTTGATGAAATTCATCGAGGTGCAATAAATGGAAAAACGAATTTCTTCAAATGAAATGAATATTCAAAAGAAACATTCATTTCTCTAGTCTTACAAAATGGAGAAAACGCGAAAATACAACTTTAGTATATGTAGACATTCTACTTTGTTAATGAGAGTGTTAATCACGACATATTATTCTAATTTCGACCTCGTGCTTGCATTCAGAAGATTCTTTCTTGAAAATATGAATTTTCCATATAATAATAACATACCACTGGATAATAGCTGGAAAAATATTATGACATAAGGCTTCATTACACCTTTGACATAACGGACCCGTTTATAAGGCTTCTGTTAGTCTAATTAGCATTTAAAATTTTCCGTGGAACTTAAACTACACTTATTTTTATCTGAACTAATCTGCACTAAATTAATATCAATTTAAAAACACAAATTTTTATATTTAGTCTAAAAAGAATAATTTTATGATGTTACAAATGTCTAAATATTTTAAGAATAACAATTCGCTTTGTAATGTTTCTAAGTTTTATTTTAACTAAACTGAATACAGACCAAATGCTCGCGGATAACATATAGTGAATCATGGAATTGAAAATTTAAATATTTTTTACATGTTATATGACACATGCTACAAAATATATAAATTAAAAATTGATTACAAATTGAAAAAAATTATGACTTGGCAGGGCTTGAAACAGCATCCACAGCGTTCCGTGCCGTTACTCCAACCAATAGAGCTCCTAGAGTCCTACACGAAATCCCGTCCGGGTCATGAACTATCGTCCATAGATGAAGGACCAGACTTATCTCTTCTTTATTTCTTTATTCTATCAGAAAAAAAGTGTCATGCACTATGCTCGCAACGAACGTGTTACACTGATATTTTTCGGAGCTTGCTCGGTGCGAACATGCTCAATTCGAATGTTCGAGATCAGTACCCAACTTAATATAATAGATTGTTCTTGCGAATGTTTTTACAAGTCAAAATTCTCCGCCGCAATGAAATTAAACCTCCAAAGTAATCTCACGTAAGAAGCTTGACCAATATCTAGCTTTTTCAAATCCAGACGCTCCTTAGATTTTATTCAGGAAATTGGATTCTTTTACGTTCGCATATAAATCTCCCGCTTCCCGCTAAGTGAATCTATTTGTTGTTACCTCCTTTCACTCGTGAATTTTTCAATACGAATAAAAAACTAGGTTTGGTCACGTGATTTAATACATTGATATGGCGTATTATATCAGCTTACCCTTTGCTATTCAATACCAGAAAAGGTATTAAATCGAATCAAATCAAATCATTTAATACACACACACATAAAATAATACACAAAATACAATAACAATAAGTAATAATAATAGATGTATGTGGAGGGACACCACTCAGCTTTTGTTGTACCTGGAAGTAGGCACAACGTGTGATTCGTATAACAAAAATTTATTAATTTCATTATTATAATGCTAGTATTTTAAAGGTTCGTTTAAGCATAGTAGGATTTTATAGATTATTATTAACGAGAGTTCGATCCCCACCTGGTCTAACGTGTTTCTTTTCAATTTATAATTTCTATGAAACACGTTGGACGTCTGGATGTCTCGATAAAAAAATTGTGGTGGGAATATCGAAATTCCGTCCGGATCAACCACCGTCCATAGATGTCAAAGTCGTGATGCTCAATCGTGTTTCGGTTCTGTTTGTGGATTTTTCGAATATCCAAGGCCAAAATAGGTTGAAGTATATGAAGCGAATCGTATATCTGTTACAAAGTATTTTTTTTTTCAAGCCGCAAATGTTGTTAGTTGTGTTGTTGTATTTACAAATGTAATTTCAAATAACATTCAGAATTACAATATTTTTAGTATATTAAATTAGACGTAATACAGCTTGTATTAGCGTGAAAAAATAATATAAAATAGGCTGGGCAATTGTTCTCGTTTGAAGAAAATTCACTGTCGACACAGATATGTTACTTCTTATATAACTTAACCGCTTAATTAAAGAAGCATACACAGTTACACTACAATATTTTGATGCAAATACTGTCTGTAGTCTACGCGAGTAGTACATATTTAAATGAAGCACTTTAACGGTTTAAAACGCGAAATATATTAGTTAAAGTTAACGTCAGACCGGCATAATTAAAATAGTTTGTAAATAAGTTGAACTAATATTTTTCGCTTTTTGAACCTTTACATACGTCTTTAACATATTAAATTCTTTGAATGCTGTAGAATAAGAAATGTAGCCTTACACGACTAAATCCAGCTCTATCCATGCTGATATAAGTTTCCTGGAGCTTTCTGAATTAAGCCGAACTAACGTGAAGCCCAGACCGTCGAGACTGAGTTTGGAATTTTTGGATAAAATTAAATTGCTTTGTAGCGAACTCCGTTTATATTGTAAACGTTTGTGGCATACTTACGAAACACAAAGATGCCCCAGTTCGCCATTTTCATTATATTCCATTTTGTGCATGTCTGTTTTATCACCTGTATTTAGTTATTAAACGTGTGTAACAACTTTAGTATTTTATGGACGCACTTGATGGCATTATATAAACAAAAATCGATTTTAGATAATTTTACGACACGGGCAGATCTTGAACCGACATCCACAGCATTCCGTGATATTGCTGTAACTAATCGACAAGTAGCTAAATTGGTCAGAGCAACAGCACGGAACGCTGTGGATGCCGGTTCAAGATCTGCTCGTGTCGTAATTTTTATTAGTTTGCGCTAGTAGTGTATGCTACAAATATAATACTTTTAACGGTTTATAACGCGAAACATGAACGTAAAATGCCAGAGGTTAAAATAACAAATGACACAAATAATATAGGTAATATATTGTGTGTCTTAAAGTATTAAAAGTGTTTAATTGAAATAATTTAGTATTTATAAGCTTAGTTGAACGTTCTTATCATAGAGCAGGTCAAGTTTGAAATGTGGTTTCCGTTCCTGATAAATAAAATATGTTTTAAAAATGAATGAAATATATTGCATTTAGGTAAATTATTCATCGTTTGAGGTAAGTTTGGCTAGAAATGGCTAAGCCATTTTCCACGAACTTTGCCGGCAAATATTCAAATATAAGATTAGTTACGGAATTCTGCAGCGAATAGCCGGTAGTACTATAAAGTAATTATAAAAATCCGTTAGCATAATTGAGTCAACTGAAATGGCGTGTTAAAAGCCGTCGAAACTGAATTATAAGCCAGTTCTGTTACGCCTCTATTTCAAAACATCAATAAAAGTACAAAACAGCCATTTTGCGGCTCGAATCGCTGCCAAGCCCATGAAAGGCTTTGTTTGGCGAAAAAGATTAAATGGCTGAAGTCTGAAACAAAAGCCTGACGTTTCGTAGCGGGGTTACGGTTCGGAAGTTACTCAACTTTGCTTCTGTTTGTCTAGGTAAAGGCTTTCGGTGAATATTATACGCACGATATCACTCTGCGACGCCATCTGGCGATACCTAATAAAAACTATTCCGTCTGCTTTGCCATTACTTTTTCTATTGCCTGTTATGACATTTTTTGCTGTCGTAACTCTAGTGGTATACTGTAATAGCCATTATATAATGTTTCTTGAGTTTTTTAACTGTTTCTTAGTCGATATTGAGAAATTGATATTCAGGTTTTCTAGAACTGGATGATATTTTCATGATATGTTGAGCTTTAATTAAGCGTCACTAACAAATGATGACTGCAGATTTTTATTTAATTGCGATAACAGTTCTAACATTATTTTGATCTTTTCAGATAAATTGAAAATGACTTAACCGCCTCCAGGATGCAGACCGCTAGCCTAGTGCTTGCCTTCACATGTGTTCTTTTGCTGACCTGCACTCAAGCCAAGATAGGTTTGTGTTCTACTAATAATAATACTGCTAATAGGATTGCTCTAATGGTAGCAATATATAGCGGGTTTGGGTTCGATCACCACAGGGTCCACTTCATACTTTTTACTAAAATAACAGATAATATATCTGTTATAACTTACGCTTATAACTCTTTTATTATATTATGATATGATTTATCATGTTAAATGCATGTACATGCTTTTATTATATACTAATATTTTAAAACTGAAGTGTTTGTTTGTTTCATTAAACGCGCTAGTCTCAGAAACATCTGGTTCGAATTGAAAAAGTTATTTTATTCATTTTTTTATTAGTTAAGGCATTTATCGCGAAAGACACGAAAAGATCACGCTGCGAACAATAGAATAGAAGAAACGATGGGAAATGTGAAAAAAATTTGGAAACTTATTCATCTTTAAGATTTTCCGTTGCGTGCGCTACTAAAACGGTTCAAGAAACCAAAAAAACATGTATGAAAGGATCATTCTTTTTTAGATTACCACAAAATGTCCGCGATAGTATAAGCCTACCTTTTAAGATTAACTCACTAGAACGACGGGTCGTGGATTACTATTATAATTTATAACGTTATAAGTAAGAAATAAACATGCACAACAATATCTCTATGTACACTTCGGTATTACGTCGGGGGTAGAACATTCGAGACACTTTTTCCACAAACTATCCGCTAAGTTGTAGTGGGATAAACGCCCAAGAATTAAGATTTACAAAGGACTGTCCTCCGGGCGAGGCAAGCCTGATTACTGAGTGCGAAGCCCGGCTCTATTGGTTTAGGATTTAGTTGCGCTCTCTTAACCCACTTTGTATTTACTCACTGTAATGAATTTTACATTTCTTGTCTTGTTTATATGTTGAGCACTTCTGCAAATTGTTTCTTCGGACTATAAGGGGATTCGACTTGATGAAATACTAAAGTTCAGACTACTCAAATTGAATTGAAGTAGAACAATTGAACAGATGTATTTAATTCGTCGCGTCTATTTTAGGGATCTACCACGTTATAAAGTAAAGAACAAGATTATTTTTTTTACTATAAATGAGGAAACACTAGCATGGGGGGGGGGTTCAGTTTATGGTAGTTGACATATTTGTACAAAATGGGCTGTCAACCTAATTCGGCTTTGGTTATTCGCAAATCTACAGTCGTAAACTGAAATACGAGTAACTTGATGACTTTTTCATCTGTGGACACCACGGCTTGAATTTCGATATTTGTACCACCAATTGATTGGAAATCTGGTTTTACTGAAAATCAGTGTTATGGCTTTGCTTTTCTTTTAGTTTAACTTAATATCTTAAAGTCTTTAGAATTTTATATCTTTTTTTACGAATACCATATCCAGATTTGGTCTTATTATTATTAAATCTTGTTTAATGATTTGTTATAGAAATTGGGCTTCAATTGAAATCAAATGTTAATTTGAATCTAATGACCAATTTAAAATACGTTCAGAAACACGTTTACATTATGAAAAACATTTTATCGTCAATAAAAAGCGATATTGACGTACGACACCTCGCAGTGAGGGAAACTAGTGATATTTAATGAATGCCGCTTCGGGGTACCTCGTAATAACTTCACGGTCTTGACCGGCAACTCTGAATGGGACGTATTCACAATCTGGAGCGCATTTTACGAAAAATCTTAAACATTCCGTTGGCTCGCAGTTTTGTATTACCTTTCTGTTTATTATATACTTATAATTTCATTGAAAGGTAGATTGTACGCCATGTATACAGTAATAGCTAAGTTGGCAAACATTTTTCGACTAATATTAATTACCATAAAAACGTTTCTTGTGAGTTAAATAAATCTTTACTAATATTATAAAGAGGAAAGATTTGTATTTTTGTATGTAATGGATAAACTCAAAAAGTGCTGGACCGATTTGAATAATAATTTTTTCATTAGAAAGTTATATTATCACTGAGTAACAAAGGCTATATTCAGTACTTGATTACTATAGGCATATATAGAATATCTTACTAAAACCAACGGAAGGCGTAAAAAAATTAGCCGTAAAATGTGTTTCTTCGCCTACGCTGCAAAAATATTATGATAGGACAAAAAAATGTTCGACAATATTATATAATATATCAATATCTACAAAAAACATCTCGAGAGCTTATGTCTAACTGTTGTAGTTACGTCGCTATAACTACTTTTTTACATTTAACAAATGAATAGAAATGCCGATCAAAATCAGACCGTGTTAAGGATAACACGGTCTGACTTTATAAATTTTTATCCAAATAAATAATTTAATATTCAAGACTGTCTCATTAGCTGATGATTACTTTTTTAATTATTGAAATCGGATCATTAAGTTAAAATAGAAAATACATGCCGGCAGCCGCCACGCCGCGCATCGAGTAACTAACTCGACGAAAGGGGCAGTGGGCTCCTTACGCAGTGGACGCGACCGGTATTGAATATTTCGTTTTTTTTTATAAACAGTTTTATGCTTCACTTAAAAAGTTATTTTTAAAGTTACTTAGTTTTAGTATTAGGAAATATTTGTCAAAGTTCTTTTTGGGAATTATCTCTTTGAACTTTAATATATTTTTTTGTATTATTATTAGTTTATTCTTAATTTCTTTGATCTAAAGTAAATACCTAAGAATAGTTCCCAAGCGAGATTAGCACAAGTTCTTCGTATTGGAGAGTCTTCTTCTAAAAATGCCCATCCCATGTCCCAGAGTGTGCGCCCAATCGCGAGCCAGAGAATCTAGCGTCGAACGTTCAGTTCGTCTTGAAGGAACGAAATGCAAGATTGTCGCAGCTATACGAACGACAGTCAAGCACCGAGCGCTCGCAGCGACTTGAAGGAAATAGAGCTAGGAATTCGTGAACGCGTGCACGGGCCTCTAACACTGAACGCTCGCAGCGGCTCCTGACACAGCGAGATAGACAACGGTCGTTAACAGCTAGGACGCGCAATACTTTTTTTCTAATTTAGTGATTCATGGTCGTTTTAATTAGCATGCTTATAATTAATTATAGTTTGTACTATTTATGTCTACCCGTGCGAAGCCGGGACGGCCGCTAGTATCTTATAAGATAGAAATATGTTTTTGCGGACTTTTTGAAAGATTATTTATAGAGGACTAATTCTTTTATATATATTTTCGTTATCTTGAAGCATTTTTGTAGCGCACCTTTCGCGCCTTCTTCACAATGGTAATGGTCGCAGTTTGATGTTTATTATAACGTAAATGACTTCAACTATCACAAAAACAATCGGCCCTATAGTTCCCGAGTATTAGCGCGTTAAAACAAACAAAAAAAACCCTTCCACTATATACATAAGTATAAATATTGCAGTGCCTAATAAAGTAGTCCTCTCTAATATATTATATTGTTTTTTTTTTTAATTTTAACAATGAGAACTAGAAATCTGATATGAGAGATTTTACTGTTTTACTACAAATTATTACTTTTCGATAAACCGAGCGACTGCGGCGTTCTACAAGTGAATAATACACTATGTGCCTTACATAATCTTCATAGCGTTCTACATTAATAGCGAATCCGTGTGTACACGGATCTCATACAATGATAAATTATTCCGTAGTACGGGACCATTACGAGTTTGGAACGAGACCGTAAAACCCAGAATTAGGGCGTATTAGAATTTATAAAATGAGTAGTTACACCGTTTTAAAACTGGATAAACTTTAATACGAGTTGTTAAAAGTTTATGTTTATTTGCGAAGTTCTGCGGTTCGGCTCCCCGGGCATTATCTAGCCGAAATAGTTACACTTAAATACAATGGTTGTTTTAAAATTTGAATAGAGCGGTTTTACCGCGGTTATTCCCAAAAGAACGAGTATCTTATAAATTATACGGGGTACCTCAAAATTACTTTTCGTTTCATTACTACCGACGTGCTCGTTGGTTTAATGGTAGCAATGTATGGCTAATAATGAACTGGTCATAGGTTCTATCCCCAGAAAGTCCGAAAATCAATGTATAATTTTTCTAAAACGTGTTGGACTTAATTTGGAAATCTCCACAGAGGAAAAGAGACGTGAATGTTTAACACTTTTCGTTTTCAGTCTGTGTGTGTCATTTCCAAATATCGAAAGACAAAATAGGTCGACAACGCACCTTATTTTGAAATTACATAGCTGGGGTATTTTTTAACACCAGCTTGTCAACTTTTGTTGTTATTGTTGACTCAAAAGAATGCATAGGTGAGGGAAGTCAATCAATTGATGTCTAATATTGTATGAATACATGAATACCGAAAGAAAGTTTAGGAAATCAAGCATACAGAAAAATTACGAACTTGACCCTAGTGCACTTATTCTTAACTTTGTTATTTGAGCTATGTTTTTGTATTACTTAATATCATACTTTCTTATAAATGGACAAATATAGATTCTCTATAGCTCAATTCGTATGGCAACTTCAGGGTACATTTTTTGTCATATTTTTCCTTCCAAATTAAACGTACTTTTTCAATTGAAATTTATTTAAATAAGATTCTGTTTTACAAACACACTTTTAATATCAACGTATGCCGGTTTCATTTAAAATGTATTTCACATGCAACTACTATTCATACGCTATTTTAAACGCACTCGTACGTTGACTTCATCTTGATGTAAAATCAGGTCAACCCTAATCGTTATTAAAATTAAATAACATTCTATATTCTACCTTGTATTAGAGTTTGAGATATTACTTAAATATTGACATTTGAACTTAGCATTATTATGATTAAAATATTTATATTTTTAGTGTAAAAGTATATTCATGATTTTTGTATATTTCTGGCCAAAACAGAAGAATATTACAAACACTGGTAACATAAGTTACTTTTATAAACCTTTTTAGGCTTAAATATGTATGATTATTAAAATATTAGCAGACATTTACTCATTGCAAAAAAAAAACATATTTTAACAACTGACTGACTGACAGTCTCCCCGTCGGGCCGAAGTTAAAATTCATTTCCAAATAAGTTTGTAT